CCCCGCGGCTAGGGGGCGGGCAGGCCGGAAAGGGCGGGGCGACCGCAGGCACTTCCGCTTCCGCCAAGGAGATCCCGGCGCCGCGGTCATGAGTCGCTACAAGTTCGTGGGTAAGAAACTGATTTTCCGGGCCTTGGGCTCTTTGCCCCCGGGCGCCACTCGCCGTGGCCGCAGGCCCAGCATGAGCGCTGGCTTTTCTGAAGGTGCCAGGGCGCCCGAGGCCGCTGGGCGCCGGTCCTGCCCGCTCTAAGGCGTAGGTGCTGCCTTCAAGGTGCGCTTGTTTGTGAAAGTTCTCGCGTGGCGCCGTTGTGATTTGTGCTCCTTATGACGTGTGTGTAATCAATAAAAAGGATAAAGGAAGCACAGCTACTGAAAAACCAAAGAGGCGAGTCACTATAGTCTCCCCCTTCCCACGTGCACCTCCCGCCACTTCCCGGTTCCGTGGCTGCGGGAACCCGAGGGGTAAGAATATTTACTGCCCGGCACTTAGGAGACCCTGCGGGGCCCGGCGGGAGCGAGGATTGGGACTCCAGTGTCTTGCAGAGCTCAGTTTTCCTGTGTATAGAGAGGAGTTTCTTGGCTGGTTGTCTTGTGGATTTGGGTATTTCAGCGGTTCTCAACTGGTGGGTCGCGACCCCTTTGGCGGTCAAACGACCCTTTCACAGGGGTCGCCTAAGACCATCGGAAAACACACATATAATTACATACTGTTTTTGTGATTAATCACTATGCTTTAATTTATGTTCAATCTGTAACAATGAAAATACATCCTGCATATCAGATATTTACATGACGATTCATAACAGCAGCAAAATTACAGTGATGAAGTAGCAACGAAAATAATTTTATGGTTGGGGGTCACCACAGCATGAGGAACTGTACTAACGGGTCGCGGCGTTAGGAAGGTTGAGAACCACTGGTCTCTTTGGTATGTGGTGGTGTCTGGCTTGTTCTCTACTGTTCTGTGTTTTCTGTGAGCGTGAAGTTCTATCTAAAGGCAAAGCAAGTCTAAAACAATTTAAAAATGCCCCATTTGCTGTCCCTCTCTATCCCTAGAATGTAGGTGACAGTGATAAGACATGATTCACTGAGCCTACACAGTGAGGAAATGTGGTTTTCTTTGGGTTACAAACTTTTTTTTCCCACTCTTTGTTTTGAGGAATAAAACTCATTAATGCTGGGAGTAATTTTTAACAGTAAAGCTGGTACTGCTTTTAAAACTAGCTAAAGAAAGAAAGAAATGGAAAAGAAACATGACTGATCCGTGTAAGGTGACATGCTACTAAACATGAGTCCCTCAATTGCCCTCCCTCCCCAAATCATAAGTAGTCCTTTTTCACTTTGCCTTTATTAAATTCTGGTCATTCTGTCTCAGTTCTATCTCTCACTTAGTTTTTCAAGATGTTCATTGTCTTTGGCTGGAGCTGGATAGAAACTGATTTTCATACAGTATTTCTTTTTTTAAAAATATATTTTATTGATTTTTTTACAGAGCGAAAGGGAGAGAGTTAGAAACATTGACCAGCTGCCTCCTGCATACCTCCCACTGGGGATGTGCCCGCAACCAAGGTACATGCCCTTGACCGGAATCGAACCTGGGACCTTTCAGTCCACAGGCAGACGCTCTATCCACTGAGCCAAATTGGTTAGGGCCATACAGTATTTCTTTACTTTTTTTTTAGTTTATCAATACCAGACATACTTCTGATAGGAACTTTTCAATTTAAGAGATTCTGACCAAGTTAAATAGCATTTTGACTGTTTTTCCCCCCCCCATGAGTCTGAGTATAAACAGATTGACTTACATCTGGCTGCTTAATGATGCAGTCTTGGATTGGGAGGTTAATCACTTAGGGTGGGATGACAGTGCAGGCATCGACCCAGCGGGTATTGTGGGTTTGGCTCCAGACCACCACAGTAAAGCGAGTCAATCACTTTCTGGTGGAGGGTCTTGCCTTCCATTTGTATAAAACACAACATCTGTGACGCGCAATAAAATGAGGTATGCCTGAATAGGTAATGTTGACCAAAATTCCATTTGTGGTTGGCGTGTTACAGGATCTGCACTGCACTCAGTAATAATAATAATAACAGTTACGTTTTATAACTCTTTCAGTTTGTAAAATGCTTTCAGGGTCATTTTCCAGTTTGAGCCTCAGTTCATCCTCGAAAGGAGGAATTCTATGCCTCCCTTAAGAGTGCGGAAACAGTCGATTTACCCACAGTCGTTCGCTAATTAGTCTTGATGCCAGAATTCTGACTCCACAGCCCATTCTGTCTGAACTGCAGTTCCTGCTTGTATTTTATTTCTTGAGACTTGCTTGGAGATTGAATACTTTTAGAGGATAATTTTGAACATTTTGTGGTTCCCTTTATATTGACTTGTTAATTATTTTTATTTATTGATTTTATTGTTTTAAATAATTTTTATTGCCCTGCCGGTGTGGCTCAGTGTTTGGGTGTCGACCTCTAATTCAATTCCTAGTCAGAACACATGCCCAGGTTGTGGGCTTGATCCCCAGTAGGGGGTCTGTGGGAGGCAGCCAGCCAGTGATTCTCTCTTCTCCCATCCTCTCTGAAATCAATAAAAATATGTTTAATAAATAAATAAATTATTTTTAGAGAGAAAAGGAGAGGGGGAGAGAGGAACATCACTGTGAGAGCCAAACATTGATCAGCTGCTTCCTGCATGCCCGCAACCTGAGCATGTCCCCTGACTGGGAATCAAACTGGCAACCAACTGAGCCACACCGGCCAGGGCTTTATTGATTGATTGATTTTAGGTACAAAGAGGAAGGGGGAGAGAGAGATAGGGAAGGTATGGATTTGTTGCTCCACTTATTTATGCTTTCATTGGTTGATTCTTGTATGTGCCCTGACATGGGATCAAACCCGCAACCTTGGTGAATTGGGAGGATGCTCTAACCAACTGAGCTACCTGGCCAGGGCAACTTGTTAATTATCTTAATCACCCTGCAGGTGTTTGCTTGCTGGTGAATAAGGTGAGTAGGTGGGTGGGGAGTGGGAGGCACAGAGGCCATCCAATATCAAGGAGAACTTCTTATAGGAGACAGAAAGTGAATCAGAGTCCAGAAAAAGAAGATATTTGCCTCTGTGGGGGAGGAAAAACTTCCTTCTGTCCTCTTAGGTTCAGTGGCTGGCCCTAAGAATTAAACAGACATAAGACAGATTAATAGGAGAAAACATACAAATTTTATTTTTTCGTGTGTATAGGAGTCTTCAAATGGAAAATGAAGACTCAAAGAAGCTGTTAGGCCCAAAAGCTTAAGTGAGGATGTGGTGAGACAGAGGGACTTAAATTGTGGAACAGTGACCAGGAAATATAAGGGGAAGCTAATAGAAGATAAGGGTTATTTTGGGTTTGTTTGTATAGATACATTATGACTTTGTCTTTCAGTCTCTGGTGGTAAGAATGTCCTCTTCCTGGAATAGGAAGGGCACCTTTTTTATGGGAAATTTTATGACCTTTTAGCTGGAAAGGGGGAGATGAGAGAAACTTTCCCGCACCTGCTATTTCTCAAGTGCCATCAGCTCAAAGAACCCAATATGCCAAAGCTGCATATTTTGGGGTGGCATGTTTTGAACACATTCATCAGACTTAACTAAGGTAATGGAGCCTATTCATCAAAGTATGGAAAGCAGCTCTAATACAGACTGAGGAATACACCTCAGACAAACTATATGTCAGAAAGAAAAGGCTTGGGGCTATAAGTCAAGAGATTTTTAAAATATATTTTTTATTGATTTCCGAGAGGAAGGGAGAGGGAGAGATAGAAACATCAATGATGAGAGAGACTATTGGCTGCCTCCTGCACGCCCCCAACTGGGGACCAAGCCTGAAACCCAGGCAGGTGCCCTTGACTGGAATCGAACCTGGGACCCTTCAGTCCGCAGGCTGACACTCTATCCACTGAGCCAAACCAGCTAGGGCTCACAAGAGATTCTTGCAGAAAAGGGAAGAAACTGGTGGCTGTGCAGTATATCCCTACAG